TGGCAGCCTCATCCCGGAGGGGTGGTCTTGGCTTGGCGTGATGGTCTCCAGGTTTGGTGGTCTTGTCCCAGTTTGGAGGTCTTTTCGGTGTGGAGGTCTTCTTCAGCAGTGGCTTCCAGGTATTCCAGTATTCATCATATTAATCAACTTTCTCCAAACTGAAATTGATCTGAGATGAACTCTGTCTTAATTTTTATTTTTTTCTCCTTATCTAGGACTTCTGTCATTAATATAGGTGCTGTGATATGGTGACTTATAAAACTTTACACTATCATTTTTTGGAAGAATACTCGTGATAGTAAATTGCAAATAAAAGCAAATCTGATCTATTTCCTATCACATTTACAGGTTTGTACATTTGCCTTCTCCATCTCTCTCCAATAGAATTGTGGAGAGTCATCAGGTTAACAAGCTGATTTGAGTTATTTTAGTAACGCTTCAATTTTGCTTAATAATTTCCACTGCTATTCAATAATAATCCAAATGATGACTAGCTATAAACTTGCAAATCATTTGCTGATACAAGACATTCAATGAGATGTATGTTGGAATGAACCACTGATGTTGTAATGGAAGAATCTAGTAGTCCCTCCTTGAAGGAAAACAAAATGGGTCATTAGTACTTAAAATATTTGTTCCACAATAAGCCACTCTGCCATGTATCTGGGTCAAATGTAAACAGAACCTTTAGTTCTCTTTACCCACTTATTGTCAAACTGCCTAAATGTTTATCTGTAAACAATGGAATTTATTTCAATGGTTTGATCACATTTTTCTGCACAGTCATAGACAGACGCTAATATTATAGCAATGTCTGTAACCAAAGAATTGGTTCTGGTTGTTTTTAACTTGATACCATTTATCTAGGACAGTATTTACAGGGTCATCCATTCAATATCTTAGCAGACTTCATTGTAATTTCCTGCAGCAGTTTCAACTCATCGTTCACCTGTCAACTTGGAAATGTTGGTTACCTTTCAGGATATATATATTCAATGATTTGACAGTGGGGCTGGAATCAAGGCTGCATCAGTTGAAACAGCAAAGTTCTTTGGTAAAATGGGGCTTTTTTTTTTTCCCCAGCTCTACTCCAGTTACCGAGAAGAAAGAAACAGACAACACCAGAACAGCTGAGTCGATGGAAAAACTTGCATTCTTTGAACATTTCAACCCTCGCTGATGGCATCACTCTAAACAGCAAACCAACTGTGCAGCCAACTGAGCTAAATGATTCCCCACCCAGGGTTATGAATGTAATAATGATGACGCAAGCTGTTTCTCCGATGTTAATCTATAAGTGTTTACTCAAATGCTGGAGATAATTCCACTCACTCTGCCTGCCCCACCCAATCCACACCCCCAACCACCAGCAACCCTTTGCCCTTTGAAATAATGCCATAGGATCTTTTATTCCAACAAAGGAAATAAAATGGAGCCTCAATTTCACAGCATCTGATAGTGCAGTATTCCCTCAGTGCTGAATTGGCAGCGTTAGCTTCATTTCTGGGCTCAAGTCAAAAGCTAGTTAATCAGTTTATAAGTGTTGTTGAATCAATATTGATCAGGACACAGGGGTAAGCCCTTCTGTACTTCTCCAAATAATAGCCTGTGACATTTTACCCCTTTGAGAAGATATTGGGCTTATTTCTAAGATTTCATCTGAAAGCCAGCATTTCTGTAAGTGTGGAACTTTTTCACTATTTGGTGGCAGTCTGGATTGTGTAAAAGCTGGTTTAAAAAAAAAAGATGAATTCAAACTGGCCCATCCAATGCAACAGTTTGCTCTCAACCATTAGCAAAGTGCTTGACTAAAACAGCACTTAGTCACTAATAAGCTGTTGACCATTGCTGCCAGGATCTTGATGCAGGATCTCAGTACAATGTTACTCTGAAGATCCAGAGTTGAGGTGGGAGTGAGTTTTCTTGGCATCAAGGTGGCATTGCATTGAGTGCAGTGTTGAGGCACCTGGGAAAATTGAATTCACTGGGAATCATGACTCACCATTTATGGTGGAGTCATATATACCATAAGGAAAGATGGTTGTGGTTATTGGATGTCAATAATTTTATCCCCAAGCCATTGCTGCATGAGACCTATTGGGAAACTCCAAATGGTATAGATCCAAACACCTTCAGCTGTTTCAACAATGGCCTTGCCTCCATTATAAAGTCAGAAGTGCAGATTTTTTTTTGATGATGATAGGGTTCAGTTCAATTTATAACTCCTCAGATATTTTACCTGCTGCAACAAGACCCAAACAACAAGGGATTGATAAGTGACACATAATCTTTACCCATCCAAGTGCAAACCAATGACCATCTCCAACAAGAGGCTGTCTAATCATTAACATTCAACAGGATTAGTAATGTTGAATTCCCCACCATCAGCATCCCATGGGTTACCATAGTGTAGAACTGTAAGCAGACCACAAAAGAAAGTCACAGACTGGATATTCTGCAATGAATAATTCACTCAAAGCTTTTTTTTTATCATCTACGAGCATAAGTCAGGAGTGTGATAGAATACTCTTTGACAACACTCAAAAAGCTCAGTTTGCTGGTTGGCACCTAAATAAGCAAACATAAGCAAAAATAAGACACTCTGCCATCTACACACAGTGGCAGCAGGGTGTACGAGTTGCACTGCAACAACTCCTTCCCAACAATGTCTACCACCTAGAAAGACAAGAACAGCAAAACACTATCCCTTCCAAGTCACTCACCATCCTGGTATGGCACTATATCGCCATTTCGTCACGATCACTGACTCAAAATCCTGCAAATCCCTTCCTAACAGCCTAGTGGGTATCCATACGCTGCAGCAGTCACCCTAACCCAAAATCAGGGTTGGGCTGGCTTTGACGGTGGTAACAACAATGCATGATGATGCATTTTTCTTTAGAAAATTCTCTGAAACGAACTTGAATCAACGGTCCTCAAGCCAAACTGTTGCAACTGAAGGTCACCTGATATTGTCAGCTTACTCTGTTGCTGGAGTTTCTACCTAACCGGTAAACTTTGTCATTGATCATTTGCCTCCTTCCAGTTGATTGATCTGAAGTCTTATTCGAATTGTTAAATACAATTATTTTGCTGCTGTCTACAGCCTAACAAAGTTTTGCCAAGAGATTTCCGCAAGATCCCCTCCTTAAATCAATGCTTTGTTGCAACCTCTTCAATGCACTTTTTTTCGAAATGTTTCCATTGTATAACTTGCTGTTGATATTTGTTCATACTGTATTTAAAATGACAATCATGGCCTAAATGTAAAGCTCTCCATAATCTGATGAACTGGATACATTTGGAGAATCATCTTTGTCATTTCTCAGCCAGCCGGAGAAACCCCAGCTCTGGGCTTTCCACTAGTGAGCAGCAAGGTGCCCATTTCAGATCCCATGTAGAGATAACGGTGAAGAATCCCACTGCAAAGCCATCCTGTTGGAATTTGACCACACAGCACCTGTAAACACAGACCCTTTCATAAGCAAAATTCTCATTTTCAGACGAGGCTGTCCGATACATGCACAGTTGTGCGACACTTGTTATAGTTAACTCCCTGCCTATTTTGCTTGCATAGATTGAACCCAGGGCAGTTACATAAGGAGTCAACATTCTGGTCATGGTGACACACGGGGAATGGTTTGTGTGATAGAGAAATAGCAAGTTCTCAAACCAAAATAGAAACACAGTTATGTAACTAACTTTCAAAAGTGAAGCTTTTTGACTGGGTCATTTCAGGTTTTTTAATTGGAAAATTAATCTGCATTTCCTTGTTTTGGTTACAATAATGTATGTGAATTGAAGAAAGTGCTTGATTTCATTTCTTTTTCCCTGTGAACAAGTATTGACAACTATCAAGATTTACCCTGCTTACTTTTGAATATTTACACATATCTGCAGCCATTCTAGCCATGTTGGCATTGCTAATTTGCCAAGAATTGTTCATACCGTTGGTTTTATTGATGACGGTTAGCTAGCCCTGTAATTATTTCAAAGGTGGAAAAAAATGCCTCCTGTTATCGCATCACTAGCTATTTTTGTTTTGTTTTCCTATCTCCACCTCAGGGGAAAAAAAAACTTCCAGCACTATCAGAGGTTTTATGTAAACGGACACTGTCTTACATAAGGGTGATGTAATCTACACAACACAGTCGACAAGAGAACATTCTGTGTATCAAAGTTATCTGAATCCAAATTGTGGGCGACAATTAACAAATGCAGTTTAACAAATGTATTTTTGTTTTTGCAAACCAGCTGAGCCAGACGGAGAATCTCACCTTTCTTATCAATACGCTATAACATTTGCGTCGGTCAATGTTTTAGTTTTAATGCAGAAACAGTTGGGAGTAATTACAGGTTTGATATAAAACGTGCTAAAAAATATTTCAAGCCAGCGTTCAGGAGCATGGTTATCGATACAATATTTGGGTGATGGGCTGGTATATTGTGGGGCTGGTGCACTGCCTTTTTGTACCGCGCAGATTAAATATTTAGCTCTTGCAAGTGGGTGTGTGTACACAGCCCTGTGCACGGTGACTTGTCACAGTTTGTGTCAATACCTGTGGGGAGCAAAATAAAAACAGCTTCAGAGGTAGCGAGGAGGGCGGAGAGAGATGTCAATCTAGCAATCCCTCCATCCCACAACCAAAAATAAAATAATTCAAAATAAACAGAATGTTACAGAACTTGCTGGTTTTGTAACAGTCTGACTCAGGCCAATGGGAGGCAGAGGATGGCTGTCATGTGATTTTGGGTTTTATGTAACATTTTTTTTGCTTTGTGGTTGGCGTTCCCTGCTCCATAGGAATTGGAAAGGAAGGGTCGGTGGTGTGGTGGGGAAATCTGAAGGATTAGGAGCCAGGCATAATGAGAGAGGGGTGTCGGAGTGAGGGAAGAGCTGGCTTGATTTGAGTGGGGGCAGTAGGGTCTGGGAGCTGATTTCATCCTCCTCTTTCTGTCCTCCCCACCCACCACCTCCTGGCACTGTCCCCTGGTCTCCTCCAGCCATGGGTTCAGAAGGAAGGGGTCTGGACGTGGTGCTGGAGCTGGCAACGGAGGCGAGGAATTTCCAACTGGCTGCCGAGATCTACCAGCGGCAGCTGCGGGCCAGGCAACAGCAGCAAGCGGGGGGCGATCCAGAGGAGGTCCGCTTGAGACGTGCTCGCTGCCTGGTGCTGGCGGAGAGGCTGAGCGAAGCGCTTCAGGAGTACCAGCACCTCTCGGCTCAGGGCAGCCTGCGAGCCGAGCACCTGGGGGAGCTGGTGGATTTCTTAGCCGGGAGCCTGAGGGTCAGCCAGGGCTGGGGAGAAGGTGAACCCCCGGGCGTGGGTTTGCTGAGCTGCCGCTGGTGTACGGGCACCTTGTTCGAGCCGGTCACTCTACGCTGCGGACACACTTACTGCAAAAACTGCCTGGAGAAGGAACGAGAGAGCCAGAGGGCTTGCTGCAAAGTTTGTAAAGAGAGAGTCCCTACTGCCGGAGCCTGCAGAATCAACGTGGTCCTGAACAGTTTCTTAGGCAAATACTTCCCGGCCGAGACCAGAGCACTCACTCTCAGACACGAAGGGAACAGCTTATATAAGAAAAACAAACCCCTGGCCGCCTTAGAGAAATATCACCAAGCTGTTGCATTAGGTAACGTCTTGCTGTTATTTTCTGTGTGTAACCTGCCGGCCTCAATTCTCCGGACGAGTGTGAATTTGGGGCAACGCTTTTGTGTTCTTAAAACTTTTTGCAAGTCATCAAGTTATCCAGCATTCATTTCGAAGGTGGGGGGCGGTTTAAGTTATTTATTTGCACATTTAAAGGGAAGAGAAAAATGTAGTGAGGAAGCTCAGCCCCCACACCACGCTGGCAAAATAAATCTGATGGCTTTTTTAGTGACAAGTCGAAATTTGATGGAGGGGCATTTGGACAGCGTTTCCCAGAGATTTATGGAAGTGTAAATAAAATAAACTCAAAGTTCTCCAGATGCTGGAAGTCTGAAATAAACACATTTGTTGGAGAAACTCAGCAGGTCTGATGGAGAGACGAAGTTAATATTTTGACTCTTCCTCAAAGTTCACATTGGACTCGAAACATGAACTCTCTTCCTCGCTCCACAGAGGCCAGCAGACCTGCCGAGTTTCTCCAGCAATTTTCTGGGATTATCAGGAGGTGTTGCATAAGATCCTACCTATTGGCCGTTTGTCACAGAATCCTAGGTTTGGAGAGTAACTGTTGTGTAACCTGAGTGGGAAAAATGGGTCAAACAGTCAAATCAATATCTGAAGCTTTTAATTTGCAAATCAGTTCCAATGCTGCGTTTTTATTTTATATGTGTGTGTTGAATGAATATAAGTAGGAAATGTTTAAAAAAAGGTATGGCTTTAGGAACATTCTATCGCAATAATTTCACAATTACACGCCTCTTTCAAACGGGCTTTCAAAACGCGTATAATTGCAGTCATTTACAGCTATAAAACGTGATTTTGGACCACACTTTATCCCTTTTTAATGCGCCCAGCAATGTGGAGGAATCAGGCCTTGAAAGCTTAAAAAGTTAAGGATTGATCTTCCTAATGCCGTTTACCTCACTCACCCAAACAAAGCGGTCTTTAAGAAAAAGCTTATCGGCATAACAATGGATTTATTTCCAAAGTCACAACACTTATTGCAAAGTAAAATATTGATGATAGTTTTGCAAACTATCACAGAGCTACCGCTGTGTAATACTTGATAACCCTAAATCACAGACAATTGATTTTTTTTTTGTTTGCCAAATCTAAATCCAAACTAAATTACCAATCCCTTAATTTTCAAACAGTCAAATGCATTACTCGCGTTTGACCATCATGAGTTTTCTATTCTGCTTCGATACTGGTTTCCTTCGGAATCAAAAAAGCCCAGATCTTAACCTGGAAATTTACTCTAATATAACATTGAATGTGGCTCAAAAGAGGGATTTGTTGCTGAAATTGTTGTATTCCTTTGACATTTGACTTTATTGCATTTGTCCTGATGAGTCCTTCAGCAACACACCTCTTTTCAGCAATGTTGAAGTTTTGTAGGAAGTAGTTGTTTAACAGAACCTTTTTTGAGAAATAACTGGGAACAGGCTTACTTGGCACAACAGTGCAATAGCCTTATGACAGTCATAAATAAGAATTATTTATACTTTACTTTCATTCCTTAATCACATGTAACCATCCCTCATTGTCATTTAGAAACATTTATAAATAAACAAATAGATGTACACATTGGATTTTCAGATTTGCTAGACTCACTCCAACCAATTAAGGTACAACTATAAGAAAGGCAATGACAATTCTTCCCTTAACTAGGTCAGAGTCATCTTGCTTTCAGTCACAATGTTTGGATTTAAAAATTGGATTCTCTACTAGAAATTAGATTGTATTTTCTCTCTTTTCCTAAAGCGGTTGATGCTATGCGTAACTGAGTCACCGACCTGTAAATTGGATGCTTGGGTCTTTAATATAGTTTTAAAGTTATATTGTCTCCCCTGATCTTTTGTGTCACTAGCTTGTGAATTCTGTACACTGTTTGCTGGAGAGGTATGTCACTGAGGAGAGGTTCCTAGACTTTCATGATACCATGCTAATCTAATATGGTTGAAACCTGTCAAAAAGATTACAGAGTCCTAGAGATGTACAACATTGAAACAGACCCTTCTGTCCAACTCATCCATGCCGATCAAATATCATAGAACATAGAACAGTACAGCACAGTACAGGCCCTTCGGCCCACGATGTTGTGCTGAACTTTTACCCCAAACCTAAAGTCTATCTAACCTCCACCGCTACCTTGTACTATCATCCATATGCCTATCTAATAGCCACTTAAATGCCCCTAATGAGGCCAACTCCATTACCCTCTCCGGCAATGCATTCCACACCCCTACCACTCTGAGTAAAGAATCCACCTCTGACATCTCCCCGATATCTACCTCCTTTCACTTTAAAACTACGTCCCCTCGTAAAAGCTACCTCCACCCTAGGAAAAAGTCTCTGGCTGTCTACTCTCCTCTATCAAGTCACCTCTCATCCTTCGTCGTTCTAAAGAGAAAAGCCGTAGCGCGCTCAACCTTTCCTCGTAAGACCTTCCCTCCATTCCAGGCAACATCCTGCTAAATCTTCTCTGCACCTTTTCTAACGCTTCCACATCTTTCCTGTAATAAGGTGACCAGATCTGGACACAATACTCCAGATGTGACCGAACCAGGCCATATCGTAAATTAGTCTAGTCCTATTTGCCAGCATTTGGCCCGTATCCTGCCGAACAGAGACCTTGGAGTGCAGGTTCACGGTTCCTTAAAGATGAAGTCGCAGGTAGACAGTGCAGTGAAGAAGGTGTTTGGTATGTGTGCCTTTATTGGTCAGTACATTGAGTATAGGAGTTGGGAGGTCATATTGCAACTTGGTTAGGCCATTTTTGGAATACTGCATGCAGTTCTGGTCTCCTTGTTATAGGAAGGATGTTGTGAAACTTGAAAGGGTTCAGAAAGGATTTACAAGGATGTTGCCAGGATCACTATAGGAAGAGGCTGAATAGGCTGGGGCTATTTTCCTTGGAGCGTCGGAGGCTGTGGGGTGACTATAAAATCGTGAGGTACATGGATAGGGTGGATCGCCAAGGTCTTTTCCCCAGAGTGGGGGCCCAAGCTAGAGAGAATAGGTGTAAGGTGACAGGTGAAAGATTTAAAAGGGACCTAAGGGGCAACTTTTTCACGCAGAGGGTGATACATGTATGGAATGAGCTGTCAGAGGAATTGGTAGAGGCTGGTACAATTACAATGTTTAAAAGACATCTGGATGGGTATATGCATAGGAAGGGTTTAGGGGGATTTGGGCCAAATACTGGCAAATGGTACTAGAGTAATTTATGATATCTGGTCAGCATGGACAAGTTGGACCAAAGGGTCTGTCTCCATGCGCTGCATCTCTATGACTTTGACTCCATACAGAACATTGGTTAGGCCACTTTTCAAATACTGCATTCAAGTCTGGTCTCCCTGCTGTAAGAAAGTTGTTAAATTTGAAGGGGTGCAGAAAAGATCTACAAGGATGTTGCCAGGGTTGGAGGGTTTGAACTATAGGGAGAGGCTGATTAGGCTGAGGCCATTTTCCCTGGAGCGTTGGAGGCTGAGGAGTGACCTGATAGAGGTTTATAAAATCATGAGGGGTTTGGACAGGATGAATAGCCAATATATTTTCCTCCGGGTAGGGGAGTCCAAAACAAGAGGGCGTAGGTTTAAAGTGAGAGGGGAAGAATGTAAAATGGACCGAAGGGGCAACTTTCTCACACAAAGGGTGGTGTATCTGGAGTACGGTAGAAGTCTCAGGTGGGGATTTGATGTTCTCTGCCTCAATTTGAAAATTCATGTCTGATTCAGGATGGTTCCAAAGAGGAGCAAGGATTATAACCCAAAAATCTACGTTGTCTTTGGAAGGCGTCATTCAGAAGAGTACAAGTCAATGATTACAGAAAAGAATAAATGAACTTGTCAAGCCTACACCAAAACTCTTGGTGGCTAGAGCTTCATAACTAGACACTTTCTTTGAGCTCTCCTGCAACCAACTCTCCAGTATGTAGTCTCCAGACAGTATAAAAACCCAGGGCCATTAGAAAGAGCAGCACTGTGGAATATTCCTCAGTGAACCCCACACTTCAGTTTGCTGAATCAACTTCCCTAATCCAGTGCTCCACCCCAGGCTGAGAATTGGCAAGATAAAGCCAATGATTTTAACCTTGTCACCTGCATAATGCATTTCGAGGACTTTATCATTTCAGGCCTAGATGATAGCCACCTCCATCTATTCCTTTGCTGATGAAAGTACTGGATCTTCATATAGTCAGTTGAGAAAAATAAGTTGCAATCAAGAAAGCCATCTTTAAATTAAATTATGCATTCACAAATATATGTCAGTGGGTGGAGAGGAAAGTTCAAATTTTCATCTGGCTTTCTTCTTCCAAGAAAAAGTATTCTTAGAATGAAGAAAGTTAAGTGTAACTGAGATGACATTTAAGCAACACACATTTTCAATCTGCTTGCATCACTGTCTGTTTCTGGTTTTAAGACATGAATCATTAAGAGCTAATGTCCCTTATCAATACGGTAGTTAGTATCCCTGCCTGTTTTGTGGGCACGGAGGTTCGATTCCCAGATGGGGAGGACAACTTTGTGTTTGAATGGTGAAACAGACTCAATGCGCTGAATGGTCTACTTCAGCTCCTATACCTTATGATTAAATGGTTTTGATATTCTCACCTGTTTTCTTTGTTTTGGATTTGGAATTTTTGATGGTCAGAAATCCTGGACTGAGGGTTCACTACATGATTACCCAAGCTATAGATTCCTGAAGTCAGTCTGTTGCAGTAGAGTCTATCTATACTATGGTTTGACTTTTACAAGTATGCAAACGAGGGAATAAGAGTAGGTCATTTGGACCTTTCAAGACTGCTCCACCATTCAATAAGATGTTGGTGGAACCAATTTTCACTTTGACTCGACATTCTTGCAACCCTACCCTAGCTTCCCAATAATCTTTCATCCTCTTGCTAATCAAAAATCCATCTATCTCTGCCTTAGAAAATATTTAAAGATTCTGTATCTGCTTGAAAGAATGTTTTTGTTGTAACCGTTTTGTGCTGCCTTACTTATGCAAGACAAAAATAACTGGAAGGTATTGTATCTTTATTCAAGTTAATGATTGGCAATCTGCTTTGATAAAGTCATGTTGTAATGAACATCACAGATTTCTTGTTAACCTTTAGAATAAAGTTGAAACAGAGGTTTCATTCTGAAAGACGTGAATTCTGGTATGTTCAATTGAAGAAGTCAAGAGGCTATTGGATGATTATTTGAATAAAATGATGAGAAGGGTTATGGGGAGAAGACAAGTGATTAGCACTAAGTAACGATGCTCATGTGATGAGCCGGTGGTGACACAATGTGCTGAATGGCCTCCCAGTTTTCTTTCTTTTCACTCAGCGATCATGAGCGTTCACCAGGCTGTTGTTTATTGCCTGTCCCTAGTTGACCCTTGAGAAGGTGGTGGTGAGCTGCCTTCTTGAACCACAGCTGTCCATATGCTGTAGGTAGACCCACAAAGCTGCTAGGAAAGGAATTCCAGGATTTTGACCCTGCCACAGTGAAGGAAGGCATCCAAATCTAATTACTTTGGAAGTGGAATTTGCCATTTGAAAATGAGCGCGCAGAGCAAGAAATACGTGATGTTACATCCAAATGAAACACCATAGACATTCTTACGTAAATAGCAAGGAATGCTGGAAAGAACAAAGTTTAAGTTATTTTGACCTTAAACACTACCAAGAAAGAGGAATACTGACACATGGATGTTTAATGATAGTTGAAAGCATAGACAGAGTCACTGTCTCAACAGGCCGCATTGAAAGTGTAGACATTTTTAAATGAATGAAGTGACAATTATTTGGCATCTTTATGTGCTTTATTTTCAGCCCCCAAAGACCACTTGCTGTTGAGCAACCGTGCACAGATTAATGCGAGTCTGAAATGCTTTGAAGATGCACTGCATGATGGAAATGCTGCTTGTAACATCCAGCCTTTCTGGTCTAAAGTGAGATTTTAAACAACTCAAATACCCCACATTTGTTCTGTTTGTTTCGTCGTTATAACAGTTTTAGTTATATTGCAGGGTGATCGCTATGTGCTTCCTAAACAACCAGTGTGCTTTGTTACTAGGGTCACTTAAGAAAAGCACAAGCACTAGCTGGCCTGCAGAAAATGGACAAAGCTTTGAAGGAGTATCTAATTTGTATTGCTTTAGATTCAGAAAATAAAACAGCAAAAATGGAAGCCCAAAAGGTAATTAAGCATTCATACTGTAGAACTGGAACACATGGATTATATATGCCAAACAAAGGCTGCCTAATTTAGTGTAAATTCATAAGCTCTAATTGAAATATTTCAAGTTTAAGTTAGTAATGATAGACTACTTAGGAACAAAAGGCAGCTTTGAGCCTGTTCTGCCATTCAATTAGATTATGGCTGATCTTTATCATAAATTAGATTACTCATTTGATTCTTTATTCCTTAATAACTTAATGTATCAAAAAAATCTAACAACCTCTGTTCTAAAACTTTCAATAAAGCAAAAGCTTACTATGGGCAAAAATTTGAGATTTCCACTGTCATTTGTGTGGAAAATGCTTTTTAATATCTCTTATTGATGTTTGAGAGTAATTTTAAAATTATGCTGCCTTAATTGGCTCTTACTGAATTAGGGAGTCAAAGGTTATGAGGAGTAGGCATGAGTGTGGCATTGAGGTCACAAGCAGATCAGCCATGATCTTAGTGAAAGATGAAGAAGATTGAGAAGCCAAACTCCTGCACCTAATTCTTGTGTTCACTTTATATGAATGTTGACCCCTTTTTTCAGGTAGGATTGTTTTTCTAAACTCCATTTCGATTGTTTCCTGGTGCAGACATTACAATAGAAATTCATTCCATTCTTGGGTGCAAATAGCAATTTTTCTAGCACCATATTGCGAGCATTTCTGTCTGCCATTGGATCACATCTAATGCTTATAAATATGAAATTTGATCTTGAATCAAATTTCTTACTACTTAAAGTTTATGAAACACATGATAAATTGTAATGTTATACTTTTTCAGCTGTTATATTTGAGCAGCTCAATCTTGGAACAACTTGAAAGCAGCATTCAAATTCAAGTGATGTTGAAACCAGTTTTTGTTTTTAAAAACAAATTAAAATCATGTTAAATCCTGTTTCTTTGTTTCTCTTTTCCAGATCCTGTGTGATTTGCTCTCGCCCATTGCTGAAAATATACATCAAAGGTTACCTGACATAATGCAAGTTATGTCTCCACGATCTCGAATTAAGGGAATTGTCCTGAACTCACTGAATTCTAGAAATTCCAGCAATGTATTTGAAAATTCATGCAAGGTGTGTGCAGTAAGACATCTTCCTTTTTCATTCTGATCGCAGATAGTGAAATGTTCCAAGCTGCTTAACAGAAGCATATTCAATGAATTGACTGAAAGAAAGGAGGAAATGCCAAGGAGAGGTGGTGGTGTAGTGGTATTGTTACTGCACTTGTAATTCAGAGGAAATACTAAACAAAAACCGAAAGAACCGAGGATTCTATAAATCAGAAATAAAAACAGAAATTGCTGACAAAGTTCAGCAGGTTTGGTAGCATCTGTTGAGAGAAATCAGAGTTAACATTTCGGGTCCACTGACCCATCTGAGGAAGGGTCACTCGAGCCGACATGTTAATGCTGGGCTTTTCCAGCAATTTCTGTTTTTGTTTGTGGTTGTAATTAAGAGACCCAGCCTCAAGCTGTAGGGACGTGGGTTTTGGATCCCACCATGGGAAGTGGTGGAAGTTGAATTCAATTCATCAATTTGGAATATAAAGTTAGTCTTAGTTGTCAAATGACAGCTATCACTGGGGGAAACACACATCTGGTTCACTCATGCCCTTTTAGCTAAGGAGATCTGCCATCCTCAGGAAAATAGAAATTAGTCCATTCGGCCCATGAAGCTTGCTCTGCTATCTGACATGATCATGGCTAATCCTCAATTTCATTGCCATACTCTCTCACTCTCCCTGTGCTGTTTGACACATTGAGCTTGTAGAAATCTGTTTCTTTCCGAAATATGTTCAGTGACTTTGCCTCCACAGCCTTGTGTGGGAGAGAACTCCACAGGTTCATTTCAGTCTGGAATGACCTGCTGCATATCCTGAGACTGTAACCCCTCTTTGTGAGCTCTTCAGCCACTGGAAACATCTCCACTACATCAAATCTGTCCAGTCCTGTCAGAATTTTATTCATTCCATTGAGATTGCCTCTCAATCTTCTGAACTTCAGTGAATACAGCCCCAGTTGACACAACCTATCCTTATGTGAAAAGCCTGCCTTCCCAGAATTCAGTCTTGTTAGCCTTCGGTTCACTTCCTCAATGGCAGTTCTGCCTTTCCTAAAGTAAGGAGACCAAAAGTGCACACGATACTCCAGGTGCAGTCTGACCAAGGCCCTGTACAGTGGCAGTTAAATTTCCCTGATTCCATTCTCAAGCCCTCATGCAATGGAGGTCAACATACCATTTGCCTTCCTAACTGTTTGCTGCACTGCATGCTAATTTTCAGTGACCAGTGTGCAAGAACACACAGGTTCCTTTGTACATTAACCTTTACCCATCTATCACAAATTAAATAATACTCTACCATTCTGTATTCCCTCCCACTTGTCCAAGTTACACATCATCTGCCATTACATAGGATCCCTACAGTGTGGAAACAGGCCCTTCGGCTCAACAAGTCCACACCGACCCCCGGAGCATCCCACCCAGACCCATCCCTCCACAACCCACCTCAGATTCACACCCCTGAACACTACAGGCAATTTAGCATGGCCAATCCAACTAACCTGCACATCTTTAGACTGTGGGAGGAAACCGGAGCACCCGGAGGAAACCCATGCAAACTCCACACAGTCACCCAAGGGTGGAATCAAACCCGGGTCCCTGGCACTGTGAGGCAGCAGTGCTAACCACTGAGCCACCGTGCTGCCCTACGTCTATGTACCCATTCTTTCACCTGGTCTAAATTTCCATGAAGCCTTTTCATGCCCTCCTCACCACTCTCATTTCCAGTTAATTTTGAGTCATAAGCAAGCTTATGAATATTACACTCAATTCCCTCATCCAAATTGTTGAATAGTTGGGTCCCTAGCATTGATTCCTATTGTATCCCACTTGTCACTGTCTTCCATTCTGAAAATGATCCAATTATTTTCATTTTAATTTTTGTCTACTAAGCAATTCTCGATCCATGTGGTTTGATTTTGTGCAATGATCCTTGCCTTTATCAAAGGCTTTCTGAAAATCCAAATACACCACATCTACTTGTTCACCTTCATCTTTTGTACTCCTAACATCTTTAAAAAAAACACTCCAGTAGATGTGTCAAACATGATTTCTCTTTCATAAATGCATGCTGACTTTGTATAATAATATTGATATTTTTAAGTGTGACCAGAAACTAACCACATAAACACAGTGGCTACAAGAGTAGGGCAGAAGCTAGGAATACTGTGGTGAGTAACTCACCTCCTGACTCCTCAAAGTCTGTCCACCATCTACAAGCACAAGTCAGGAGTGTGATGGAACACTCCCCACATGCCTGGATGAGTGCAGCCCAACAATACTCAAGAAGCTTGACACTGTCCAGGGCAAAGCAGCCCGCTTTGATATCAACCACCCAGGTTGATAACGTTGTTAAGAAGGCGTACAGTATGTTAGGTTTTATTGGTAGAGGGATTGAGTTTCGGAGCCATGAGGTCATGTTGCAGATGTACAAAACTCTGGTGCGGCCGCACTTGGAGTATTGCGTACAGTTCTGGTCACCGCATTATAGGAAGGATGTAGAAGCATTGGAAAGGGTGCAGAGGAGATTTACCAGGATGTTGCCTGGTATGGAGGGAAGGTCTTATGAGGAAAGGCTGAGGGTCTTGAGGCTGTTTTCGTTAGAGAGAAGAAGGTTAAAAGGTGACTTGATAGAGACGTACAAGATGATTAGAGGATTAGATAGGGTGGACAGTGGGTGCCTTTTTCCTCGGATGGTGATGGCTAGCACGAGGGGACATAGCTTTAAATTGAGGGGTGATGGATATAGGACAGATGTCAGAGGTAGGTTCTTTACTCAGAGAGTAGTAAGGGCGTGGAATGCCCTGCCTGCAAAAATAGTAGACTCGCCAACTTTAAGGGCATTTAAATGGTCATTGGATAAACATATGGATGATAATGGAATAGTTTAGGTTAGATGGGCTTCAGATTGGTTTCACAGGTCGGCGCAACATCGAGGGCCGAAGGGCCTGTACTGCGCTGTAATGTTCTATGTTCTATGTTCTATGATCTATGATTGGCACTACATCTGCAAGCATCCACTCCCTCCACCACCAACCCTCAATAGCAGCAGTGTGTACTATCTACAAGATACACTGCAGAAATTCATCAAAGATCTTCAGACAGCACCTTCCAAACCCACGAACGCTTCGATATAGAAGGACAAGGGCAGCAGACATACGGGAATCTCCAAGTTCCCCTCTAAGCCACTCACCATCCTTGCTTGGAAAAATATCGCCGTTCCTTCTCTGTCGCTGGGTCAAAATCCTGGAATTCCCTCCCTAATGGCATTGTGGGTCAACCTACAGCAGGTGGACTGCAGTGGTTCAAGAAGGCAGCTCATCACCACCTTCTCAAGGGCAACTAGGGATGGGCAAGAAATGCTGGTCAGCCAGCGACACCCACATCCCACAAATGAATAGAAAAGAAAGTGTCCCGTTCTCACATTCTTTACAATAGATTCCAATATTTTCCCTCTATTGATGTTAGGCTAACCGGTCTGTAATTCCCAGTTTTCTCCCTCCCTCCTTTTCTAAACAGCGGGGTTACATTTCCCGTCCTCCAAACTGCCAGGACTGTTCTAGAATCTACTAAATTTTTGAAGATGACGACAAACACATTCACTACTTCTTTAGCTGCCTCCTTTCAGTTATATAATTTTCAGCATTCATTTCTTCCTAATACTAATTTTCATCAATTTCCCTGTTCTGGAAGACCCCTGCTTCCCCAGCAATTCTGGGAAATTATATGCATCTTCTTTAGTGAAGTCAGAACCGAAGTAGTGGTTTAATTGCTCTGCCATTTCCTGGTCCTCCATTCTCAATTTTCTGGTTTCAGTCTGTAAGGGACCTGAATTTATTTACTGATATTTTTCTTTTTAAGTATTTATGGAAGCTCTTCTAGTCTGCTTTTATGTGCCTTGCTCATTTACTCTCATGTTGTGTTTTTCCCTTCTTAATCAACTTCATTGTTCTGCTTCAATGAATTATAAACTGCTTCCAGTTCTCAGGCTTGCTAATTTTCCTAGCAACTTTACATAACTTCTCTTTGAATCCAATGCTACCATTAACTTCTTTGGTTAACCATGGTTGGGCCATGATCTGTTTTATTTGCCAAAAGGAATGTATAACTGCTGCAAAGTATGCATTTGTTCTTGCTTATTAACCATTGTCCATCTACTGTCATGGCTTTTAATGAAGTTACCCAGTCTACCACAGCCAACTCACCCCTCATACCTTTGTAATTTCCTTTGTTTAGATTTAGGACCCTAATTTTGGATTTGACGACTTCATTTTCCATCCCTTTGTAGAATTCTTCAGTGTTACTGTCACTTTTTCCAAAAAGACTTCTCACAACAACATTAATTAACTCCTTCACATCATACAAAACCAAATCAAAGATAGTCTGCCCCCAACTTGATTTATCAAAATACTGGTCCAGTAACCATTCTATGTGCACTCCAGGAATTCATATGCCATAGTATTATTCCTAAAGTGTGCCCAGTCTATAGGTAGATTAAAGTCCTTCATGATTACTGGAGGAGCCTTGATGCATGCACCTCTGAGTTCCTGTTTAATGCCAACCATGATTGTTTGGAGGTCCACAGACAATTCGCATTAATGTTTCCTGCTCGTATTTTTTCTTAGCTCCATCCAGACTGATTCCACATCTAGATTTCTTGTGTTATATCTGTTTTCACTATTGCACTGATTTCAGCTTTCACTAACAATACCACCACACCACCTAATCCATTTTCTATCTTTTCCACCTTCCTAAGGATTGCATGCCCTTCGGACGTTCAGTTCCCGACCCAGAGCCGTTCCTCCCTAATTGCAATATGTTGTACCTGTGTACGATTATTTGTGCTGTTAACTCATCTGTCTTGTTGTGAATGCGCTGTGCATTCAGATATAATAACTTTAGACATTCCTTTTTGATATTTTTACACTTGTTCTTTGTACTCCAGCCCTATTTGGTGCTAGCCCTTATTTCCTCTGCCTTTTAATGTTGCTTTCCACTTTTTTATCTTTAATTTCCATCTCTGTTTCCTCCCTCTTGTCCCCCTGCTAAGGTTTGTGTCCCCCTGAATGAGTTCCTAGCTCCCTATATTCTGATTACAGGATCTCTTTTTAACTATGTTGTTGGTACAATAAATTTATAAATAAATAAATGGATTATGATCTCTGGCTGTTCTCCCTCCCCCTTGAGAATATCATGCAGATTCTCAGTGACATCCTTGACCCTGGCACCAGGGAGACAAAGGACCATCCTGGTGTCATGTCAGTGGATGTGGAAATGTAGAATGTCCTCTCACTATTGCTTTCAGATATTTTTGTACATCTCCTGTCCCCATCAAACATTCAGCTGGGCCACTCCTGGTGCCTGGGACTTGGCTTTGACTGCATTCCCCTGAGAAGCCATCTGCCCTAGCAGTATTCAAAGACAAAAATCTGTCAGATGGAGAGAGAACCCCATTTAACTGTTTCACTTCCTGTCTGCTGCCCTAAATAGAGTCATTGAGATATACAGCATGGAAACAGACCCTTTGGTCCAACTCGACCATGCTGACCAGATTTCCTACACTAATCTAGGCCCATTTCCCAGCGTTTTGGCACATATCCCTCTAAACCCTTCCTATGAATCAAACAAAAAAAATTCTTATACCACTGGATTACTATAACTGTAAGAAATCTAGCCTGCAATCTTAGGAGCTGCTGCAAGATCCACCCTACACTCACTGTGCCGTTTTGAATACGAACAATAATAATAGCGATAATAATCTGCCCTTACCTTGTCTGGCTGACGTGTGACTCCAGATCCACGGCAATATGGATGATTTTTAACAGTTCAGTTCAAGGGCAATTTGGGATGGGAACTGTAGTGCATGGAACCAGGCGGTTCTCGTTGACTATGAGATTCTTGATTGGGGTTGTTAACCCAGGCCAGTGAGGAAGCCCTGGCTGACCAGTATAAACAGAGAATTTACAATTGCCTCAGTTCAGGGGACTGACTCTGAGTTGGCTGGCCACAGCCAGTGTACAGTGCACAAGTAAATAAAGGGTGACTTGGTAATGGGATACTTGGCCTCTGTGCAGTTCATAGAATCCCTACAGTGTGGAAACAGGCCCTTCGGCCCAACAAGCACACACCGACCCTCAAAGCATCCCACCCAGACCCATGCCCCTATAACCCACCTAATCTACACATCCCTGAGCACTATTTTCGCAATTTAGCATGGCCAATCCACTAGCGTGCACATCTTTGGACTGTGGGAGGATTACTTCAGGTATCGAATAGCGGTATTGCCAGTGATGCCCACATCCAATGAAAGAATATATAAAAAGAGAGACAGGTAATTAAATGCTTGGACAAAGAAGTAGGATTTAAGAAGCAACTTAAAGGAGATAAGACAGTTGACTTAAGGGAGTTTGGGAACTTTGGCTCAGGCAGACGACACCATTGACTTTCCGTGAGGGGTGAAGGAACTGGAGGGCGTGCAGGAGGCTAGAATTGGACGAGCTCAGAGCTCTGAGGGTGGTTTAACTGGAGGACCTTAAAAGACATGGGGAGGGTTGAGGCCATAGAGGGATTTGAATATAAAAAATGAGAATTTTGAAATCAAGACATTGGTGGACCAGTAGGCCATTAGATCTAAAATGGGACTAGAATAATTTAGGATATCTGGTGAGCATGGATGAGTTGGACCAAAGGGTCTGTGCAACTCTATGACTGTATGTAATTCATGTTTTCCAATCTTTATTTTGAAAAATGGTCAAAACATCCTGAAACAGAAGCAGTTGGATTGAGGTAGTTAGCTAGATTCATTTCCAAGCCAACTATATTGACCCTAAACAAAACAAAATTTGTGGAAAAGCTCAGCAGGTCTGGCAGCATCTGTGGAGAGAGAAACAGAGTTAACGCTTCAGGTTGAGTGACCCTTTCTCAGAACTGGTTTCTGATTTACAGCATCCGCAATTCTTTCAGTTTTTATATTAATCCTGAAGTTTGTCTGAGTGAAATCTATCCACTAACTAAGCAGGAATGGTAATTCAGTTGAGACTGAAACAGACTTAACTTTTCAGGCCTTCAGCTTGAAATGTTATTCAGTTTCTCTCTTTCCAAGCTCAGTGTGCCTCATGTATCTACAACATTCTATGTATTTATTTCAGGTTTTCAGTATTTGCGGTGTTTAGCTTTTGAACGATAATTCAGTGACGGATTATCAAATTTCATATGGATTAATGATGCACACAATCATGCGCAAAAATATGTTTTTTTTTTCTTAGGGATATTGCTTGAATAATAAAGAATTCTATTCCTTCAGTGTCAGGTTCTGTTTGTTTCATAATGGTGTCCTCCTGACTCTTCAAGGTAAATGTTGATACAACTGGCTTTGACACCAAACAAGAATGGAAGACCCACTCCTACTGTAACTCAACGAAACCAGCTCAAGTAATGAGTGAAAACCAAGACACTTTGAAGAATTTGTCCACAGAACCAGCCTTGATGATTTCCGAAAGGAAGAATACTTTGAAAACACAGCGCAGTTCTATTAAAGATGAAGAACCTGGAACAACTGAAGGCTACACCAAATGCAATAAGCGAGGTACACTCGGGGTTAAGCACATGTTAGGGTGCACACAGGATTTGGTTTCTTTTTGTTCTTTGAACCCTGGGTTTTCATCATCATTTTAGTAATGGCATTCAGCAATCCTCTCCATCTATTTGTTAGATCAGTGGTTAGCTAGGCTGTTTTTTAAATTTTCTTTAGGGGAGAAGTACTGTGAAAATTTTTCACATAGAGGGTGGTGGGTGCCGAGAACACACTGCCAGAGGAGGTGGGGAAAGTAGGCACGTTAGCAATGTTTAAGGCGTAAATTGATACACATGTGAACATGAGGCAAATAGAGGGATAGAAACTGCGTATAGGCAATAAGCAGTGGACCTAAATATGGATTAGAAATCAGCACAGGTTTGGTGGGCTGAAGGGCCTGTTCCTGTGTTGCATTGTTTCATAAAGACTAAAGTACAATGATTACACAATCTTCCACGACTTTTTGGTACTTTTAAGAATCATATTCCACCATTCCAACCATTTTAATCCATGAACATCACTCGTGGTGGCCAATTTTCACTGATCATTCTCAATTCTTATAAGTTCTATTACCAAAAAATCCCATTTCCTTCACTGTAATTTAAATAAAAAAGGTTATAAAATCACAACATCTCAGGAACAAAGACTTTTGTAAATGTTGTTGATATTTAATATTTGATAAATATTGTTATATATCATCATATTTCAGTGTTTAAGAAAGATAATTTATATTCTGCTTGATGTCACACTGTTTGATGTATATAACTTAAAATGTTTTATTCAATCGTATAGCCAGGTCACAGAGTCCCGGGAGAGAACATGATATCTTACCGAAGCTCGTTGATGCGTTTGACCTGGAGTGTTCCCTATGTATGAGGTATGAGGTACCTGCTAGTTCCTGCTATTGTGTTGATGCAAATGTTACCATATTATATGACTGATCTTATTGGAATCAATGACACGCATTTATATAGCACCTTGTAAGATCTCAATCTCTCAAAACACATTAAGTAAAATGAAATACTTTTAATGTGCAGTTACTTTTGTACTATAGGAATTGTAGTAACCAATTTGCAAACAGCAAGCTTCTAGAAGCTGAAATGTGATAATGACCATGTAGCAAGTTTGTAGATTTTCTGATCATCATCACCATTGTGTGCATACTTCCTGCGCAGATTGACTGCTATATTTCCTATATTTCAAAAGAGACCTTTATTCTTTCTTGGGGTGTGGGAGTCACTGGTGAGGCCAGCATTTGTTGCCTATCCCTAATTGCCCTCAAACTGATTGGTTTATTGGGGGCATTTCAGAAGGAGGTCAAGAATCAACAATACTGCTGAGGGTGATGTAAGCAAAGCAAGATAAATATGGCAGATTTCCTTCTCAGAGGGCATTAGTGAAGTGGATGGTATTTTGTAGTCATTGATGATGGCACTAAGACTGAGACTAACTTTCAGTTCCAGACTTATTAAATGACAGATGCCCTGGTAGGATTTGAAGCCATGTTCCCAGATGTAAATCTGAATCTCAGGATTAGGGGTTCAGTGATATTACTACGATGCCACTGCCTTCCTCTGTGTTTTTTAAAAACATACAATTTTGCTACAAAGTGCCTTGGGAGAGCCAGAAGTTATGAAAGGGATTCCAAGGATGAGTAGAGTGATGGAGAATGAGGGATGTCACTTAGTCTTCTGTTGCCTGGAAATACAGAGAGCTTGGCTGAAACCTACAGGAGTCAAACACATAATAATTATAGAAAGCACTTTTTAAAATTCAGATTTTCACATATATATGAAGTATTATGTGTTGATCTATAATACACAAACATTAATGATAATATACAAACATTAGAGATAACATACAAACATTAATGCTTTATTGACATTTTAGTTTTGCTGGCAGCTGGGGTCCGGTTTGAAAATAATTTGGGAAGAACTTGTCAAAAGCTTTCAACAAATGTGGATTTTCCTTATAAGCATTATCGTCCCAAACAATATACAATATTTACACTTGTACTCCAAATCATGTCAGAACTGTTTACTTACGTGGGATGATTTTAAACAATCTCTGATTTGCTGATGACATTGAACTTAACCTTATAGCAATAACTCAAACAGGCTTTTGGAGAATAATTAATAAGGTACACAGAAAGAGCAGGTCATCTTCGTTCTATAACAACATGCACACTATAAGGAGGCCACACCTTAACACAGTCAGATCGCTAAAAGGGACATCTATCCTGCTCCCTTGCTCTCTCACGTTGCCCTGAATGTTGTTCCTTTCCACATATTTATATAATTCACTTTGGAAGTTACAATTTAGTCTATTCCACTATCCTTTCATGTGGTGTGTTCAGATTATAACACATATCCGTGTCAATGTATTTTTTTTTTCGTTTCATTTCCTGTCTGTAGTTTATTTGCCCATTATCTGTGTCCTTTGGTTACTGCCCGTCCGTCCAGTGAAAAGTTTCTCACTACTTACCCTATCAATCCCCTTTATAATCTTTATTAAATATCTCCTAACCTTCACTGCTCAAATGAAAACAAAAACTAGCTTCTCTATTCTCTACAAATCACAGGGTAAGGATTTCCAGTGTACCTCATTTGCAAAAATAAAACCAAAGTCAGCCAGTCAGTCAAGAAATATCAAGTGATTATAGTTCGGATGCAGTTGAACAGCCAGACTAATTGTATACCTCCCATGGATTCATGCTAGAGAGTTGGAGTTGCAAGTGAGACTAACTGCAGCTGTTTTTGGAAAGTTAAGCAGGATATGAAAAACCAGAGATCTTTTTGTTAGAAAACAAAGGAAGGATTTTATTTCTGAATTATTATGTGTTGGAACATGACAAAGTTTAACAAAAGATACTAACAGCAGAAATGGATGAACACAGCAGGCCAAGCAGCATCATAGGAGCAGAGAGGCTGACGTTTCGGGCCTAGACCCTTCATCAGAAAAGGGGGAGGGGAAGGGGGTTTTGAAGCCTGCAGTGCCACAACGATGCCACCCGAAGGTTGCAGGAACAGCAACTCATATTCCGCTTGGGAACCCTGCAGCCCAATGGTATCAATGTGGATTTCACAAGTTTCAAAATCTCCCCTCCCCCCACCGCATCCCAAAACCAGTCCAACTCGTCCCTGCCTCCCTAACCTGTTCTTCCTCCCACCTATCCCCTCCTCCCACCTCAAGCCGCACCTCCATCTCCTACCGACCAACCTCATC